TGCGGTAGGAATTATATTGACAAACTTTGAAATTATATAACAATTATTTTAATTAAATTTCACCGAAATTAATTACTTAAGTTGAGTAAATAATAATTCAAATATTATTGTTTTAAAATTAATCAAAAGTTTAAAATTAAAATTTTTATTTCAATAAGAAAAAAAAATTTCTAATCTTAAATAAAAATTTAAATATTGCACCCCCGGAAAAGCTTTGACAATTGTTGAAACAAGATAAAATAACATTACGTGAGTTATTATATTTTCCTAGGACATATTTACAAATTTTTCCTCTCAGAAGCAACCACTGGAATATTTATAACTGGAATTTAGAAGGATGGTCATAAATTTCGAGGATAAGTTGACATAAAAGAAAGGTTAAAAAATGGTATTTAAATTAGAATACACTTGTTGAATTGTAAGTAGATTTAAATATTAGTATTAGTGTTACAGTAAGCTCGCGGACAATAACCGAATTGAGTGCAAGAGGTTACCATTTACTATTGAGAGTTGAATAAAGTTTCCGGTTGCGTACATTGTAAATTATAATAAATAACCGGGTAAGGGGTAGGGGGTGTAGGGCGCAGGAATACACGAGGATTGACCGTGAGCTCGCAAGTCTCCCGTGACGATTTCAAATAGTTGCATGAACTTGGCTATGTAAATAAGCATTGGACGCGTTCCGGATTCGATGAATTATTCAGCGAGCCATGAGTTTGATATCCGGATATGTGTGCCAGGGTTTCTGTCGCTTTCCCATCACCATATCTATCTATACCTATTTTAAATCCTCATACTCATACTCAAAGTAGGATTGACTGGCTTTTGTCTCGTTCGCGGAAAAATCCTCTAATTCTTCTATTCAATTTTATTAATTAATAATTATTTTTATCTCTATACTATCTTTTTCTTCATTTTCATCAAATTTAATAAAGTATAAATCTGTGAAAAAAATTTTTTGATATGGCCAATTATGTATTTATCTAAATAATTTTCAAATTAAGACACATGTTGCCATATCAATGAACTATACATACCCATATCAGGCCATATTAGGCTTGATATTTTCTGAAAAGCTATATATAGCCTGATATATGCATATATGATTTTTTTAATGGCCATATATGATTTTATGTCTTTATCTAAATAAATATGGCAATATATGGCTTGATATGGCCACATAGGGCCTCGTATGTATATATATAATTTTTTTAATGGTCATATGTAACCTAATATGGCTTGATCTCAATAAATATGGCAATATATGGCCATATATGGCTTGATGGCCTCGTATGTGCATATATAATTTTTTTAATGGCCATATGTGACCTAATATGGCTTGAACTTAATAAATATGGCAATATATGGCTTGATATGGCCTCTTATGTGTTTATATAATTTTTTTAATGTCCATATATATCGATATATGGCCTGATGTATGAATATATAATTTTTTGATATGGCTATAAATATGTGTTGAACTAAATATTTTTCTTAGTATGCCATATAAGGCCATATATAAACATCAGAAATTTTGATATGGCCTTATATGATCATATTAGACCATTTTTTCTGGAATAAGTATGAAGGATGAGGGATGTCGGATGTCGGGAGTGATAAATGATAAATGCTGTTCACCGTCAGACAGCTAATGTGATTTTCGCGTTGCTAATTAGATATGAACATAAATTCGCTTCCAGCCGAGCTGGTACACGCTCTCAAGATTTCCTGAGCAGCTCTGCGTGATGTTTCGAGTTCCGTGTTTCCAAAATAATTATTCGCGGTTTATTTACTCGGTGAAATTCACGGGGGTGTTTTTTGTGATTTAGAGTGCGGGCATCATAAAACTCTGTTTCACTGGTGCTACGTAATATAATATAATAGTTTAGGTTCGGGTTTTCGGGTTGAGCAAATACGCGAGCGAGTTTATAGCGTATATAGTATTATATATATATATATATATATATATATATATATATATATGTATGTGAATGAGAATTTGCGGTGTGGAAAGCAGTTGCCATGATATCGCGATGAGAACTCTACATATATGTATTTATGATACCAGAGATGTGAATTTGCGAGGACACGGTACGTCGAAAACTGCCAGAGGCACGTCACTGTAATTTCATCTCTCTGCACTTCCTCCCCCTTCTTCCAGTTTACTCTCATGTTTATGAATGTCGATAGGGATAATTTCTCCAACTAATTCTATTGTTACAAGCAATAAACAGTAATTTGTAAGTACACTGACGAATAAAAATTAATTTAGCTTAAAAAAAATTTTTTTGGACCAAACAAAATTTATTTAAATGAAAACAAGAATAATTTTTTACTTAATAATTTTTTTAATTCAATAATTATTTTTTTTTTAGCAGTGTAATAACTTTATTTCAATTATTTATCTAGAAATAATTAATAACTGACTAAATTAATTCTCACGTTAATCAAGGATCATTTGATCTGAAGAGCAAAACTATTACCATCATTCCTACCTACATAGTCGCTTTAAATCAGATGGTACTTGTCAACACCGAGTATCTGGCACGCGACCACTAAACTAAAGTTTAATGTGCCCACATAACGTGTACCCGGCATATGTTGTCAGCAAGAGTTTGTACTTTACTGTCCATTTAACCATCCAGCCCCTTCAGCGACTTTAGCTAAATTTCTCATGCCCGTATCCGAGGATAAGAACTGTCAGGCCACCCCCATACCATATCCAAGCAAAAAAGTTCGTCATACACCCAATAAAAATAATAATAAAACTAAAGAAACAAACTTTACTCCCCAACAAAAATTAGAAAGGTTAAATTTGATGTCCAGGATACAAATTACACCTTCTATCTTTATAGATATTTTCATTAAAACTTTTATAAAATTTAATCCTACCGTCGTTGCAATAATTAACTTTCAAAGTTGTTAATTGAGTTTATTTGTTGTAAAGGATTAATTTGAATAAATATTGACTGGAGGATATACAATTATAATTTGAATATTCAGATAGCGCGGATAGTGGAAAATTTAAAAAAAATTTATGTCCATAGCAATATTTGTTCACAGGGGTTTGTTTAATTTAATGCTTGACATGCTGCGTTCATGTTAGTATCATATATATTATGAGAACCGCGATTTAAATATATATTTATGCTGAGATTGATAAACATTGAAATAGAGTTGAAATAACACCGTCAAATGTCGAGTGACTAAGTGGAACAGAAAAGGGGAAGGGGAAGGGGGTTGATTGTTTCCGAATGAAGTAAAACAACTAAACCAGGCGGAACATATTCAACGCGGGTCATATCAAGGATGTGAGCGTGACAAAAAAAAAAGTAATATACAAATTAAAGCATGAACCGTGTCTTTTAACGGGGATACAATCAAAATCAACTGGTCTTTATTCAATAATGTGAGAAAATTTTTCTACCCTGATGGTATGAGATTTTTATTTCTAGTTTTTTTTTAAATTAAAAAAGATTAAAAAGATCGAATGAAAAGAATCTGATAGCATCGGACTTTAAATTGGTGATAAATTTTGAAATAAAGAAAATTCAGAAGTTCCTTTAACTTTTGACTAGACTAGATGCTTGTCGGGGTCCAGATATAAACATAATAGTTTGGGAGGGACGATAAGGAAATTTAAATGTCCATTGAATATTTTGAGTGCTCGGCTAACAGTGACCGTTTTAAAAAGGACTGAGGAAGAGGGCTCAGCAGGTACCTGTTCCGCTCTCTGGCTCTGGATACGTCAAGGACTGTTATGTTCGAGCCGGTGAATAGACCGAGGAGCCGACATCGGGGGCTCGGAGAGAGTGAAGAGGGTTGATGCACTTGTTACATGGGACACCTATTTCCTACGCTTACGCTTACACTCTTTCCAACAGCTTCTCGATTTACTGTTATGTTATACACGTCCCTGGTATGTTCCAGGGATAAATTAAGTTTTTATGGGTTTAATTTATCGATCATTGAGCTTTTCAACTCTTGGGGATTTTTAATTAAAATTTATAGTGTAGGCAAGTTATTTTTATTATTATACTTTCGGCGATCTGATCGTTTAATTTAATATCAATCATTAGAGTTTCTTTCTTATTTTTATTATTAAAAGTCTTAATTACGAGGGAAAATTATTTAAAATTTTAATTTGAGGTTAAATATTAGAGGTACAAAAAATTCTTTGTCTTTAGTCTTTTAGGTACAATATTGATTTTTAATTACTAGCAACCTTGCAGTCACTATGTGACTGCGGTGACTTGTGAACTATGAATAAATAAAATTCTGCTTTATTAAATAATGACTTTTGTTAAATTGCACTGTAATTTTTTAACTATCGGCATTTTTAAAAATATAAGCTCATCCCGATGTTATACTCATCAAAAGCTTTCATTTGAGTACCCACATGTATTTTTGATATATTTTTCATATATACATATATATAATATTTATAAATATATGAAAAATTGATGTGGGTACTGAAATGAAAGGTCTTGATGAGTGTAATATTAGGATGAGCTTATATCTTTAAAAATGTCAATAGTTCACAAGAAACAAGGTCATTTCTTAATTATGTATCTAGAGGTACGAAATTTAACCATAAAATGGCCACAATTTATTGATTATTTTCTTAATAATATAGATAATTTATTTTAGCAACTCGATTTTAATTTTTTCATTATTGTATATGTGGTTCAATAATTTATTCTTATATTTTGCGCTTTTAATAATAATAATAATAATAATCTCATAAAAAAAATGAAAAATTCAAATTACACAGAAGCCAAAGCGATTTATAAAATGACATTAAGATAAGATATAATAATATAATGTAGCACCTATACGGATTCCACTTAGCGAATAGCGCGATATCAGTGCGAAACATGCATCACGCAAACAATAACTTGTAATTCAAAGTAATCGTGACAGTATTATCATAAATAAATGATTAATCACGAAAAGGGTGTTTATAAATTAACGCAAGTAATAATTAATCTCGGTAGATGATGGATTCGCGAGTAGTATACACACTATTAGTATTAATACTGTCGTGCATAATTTACAAAGTTTATCTTATTGAAGTGAACCCAGAGGAATTCTCAGTGGCGTCTTGCAGTCTGAGGATTGACGCGAATCCTTCAGCATTATTTGGCTTTGTCACTCAAACAGCCGTCCTGGAAAAGGTTAAACACATTTATTTAACAAATTTAATCTCCTCTTCACAGTTTACTGCCGGCAAACAACTACTAAACATTTTAATGCCACCGATAAACCCCAAACTTTATCATCCTCGTTTAATTTTGATTACATCATTGTTAGACTGTTACAGCGAATTAATTACACCCCGAAAGCATTAACCATCAACTGTTTACCATCGGGCGTTGATTGACGTTCATGGTTGCAGCACAAAAGTGTAAAATACAATTAAATTATACACTCAAGCTAGGAGAATAATTTTACTATAATTATCAATTAGATTTTTTGCTTATTTATTTATTTATTTATTTATAGTTCGTCAATATAATCCGCGGCCCCTGGAGATTAGTTTGGTTGTTGATCGTTAAATGAGGGCAAATTCTCAGTGTATAAAACTTTGAAATAAAATAAATGGGGTAGTTTTGAAGCCAACGAGCCGGCTTTGCACAATGGAAAATACAAAATACTAAATACACAAATTCACATATATGCGGATATATTTTGTGGTACTCTATACGCCTATCTAAACTTTATTGCAGGAACGATGCCAATGATAACATTATTGCGTTATTTTATCGCGGTTGCGACATTCAATGTCGGCAATTAGTTACACGAGCTTTTGGGATTTCCGTGCTCCGTTGTCAATATAACTGTATATGTGCAAATGTTCTGACAAATTTACTCTATCACGCTACATCGATACACTCCTATTTCCAATATAACCCGACTTGATAACCCGAAATATATAGAAAAATACGCTAGGAAAAAAAATTTTAAATGAAATAAAATAAAATAAATAAATTGAATAACTTCCGATGACAGTTAAATTTCAACTTTGAATAGAATCACTATTAGTTTTAATATTTTTGACAGAAGTTTTATTATTTACTTTCTTTTTTTATTTTATTTTTTACAATCTAAAGTTTTAAATTTTTTGGTAATAATAATAATAATAATAATAATAATAATAATAATTCAATTCTTTAATAAAAATAATTTTCATCTAAAAAATAAATTTATTTATTCTAAAAATTAATAAAATTATTTTACAAAAATTGATTAATTTATTTTAATGTTTACAATTTTAGATCCAAAAAATTTTTATAATAATTCAAATTTGCAAATTTTTTATTTAAAAAAATTTATAAATATTTCATTTTATCAAAAAAATTATTCAAATATTTAATAAAAAATTTTTCCATTAAGAATTTAAATGAAAATTGAAAAATTTAATGAATTATTAACAATTTTAAAGTATCCACATTTTTGTAGTAGTTGAAGCTTGTTATTATTTTTTTTTTATTAAAAAAATTAAACATATAATTTGAGTAATAAAAAAAAATGGATAAATATAATAATTGAAAGATTCTAACAAAATAGTTACAAGCTGTGCAGGAAAAGTCTGCAGACGGAGTTGGAGGGCTTGGGAAAGGGAGCGCAATCGTGTGAATCGGTTGATGTAGTATAGATATAGGTAGAGCGGGATAATGCGGGCTTGATTCGCTCCTGGTGGCGAATACGGGTAGGTCATTACGGGCCGCGAGCCCTGTAGTCGGCGTGAAGCTTCGCAATTCCAATTATAGGTACTCGGTTCAGATCACACCGTCATTGTCGGAGGGTCTCGTCATTCCGACTTGATCAGTTCCCTGTTCTCTAATTGTCCGGCGCAATTATTTAAATATTAGCACCGATTGCATGCCCAGTATCAAATACCTGCCCGTCTCCCGGCTCCTGTCTTCATTATTACATATTACACGCTCTGAAAATTTTCTCTAATTAAAACAGCTCTCGTTTTTTCAGCTGGCGCCCTGGCTAACGAGACTCGCGGACGCCGATGCCAGAAATGTCGGAGTCGGAAAATTCTACCGGGCTTTTTCAAAGCTCATCCTCGGTATCAAACAAAAAAAAATAAAATAGTATTTTTTAGTAGCTTGTAATCACAATAAAAATAAAGATAAAAATATATTTTCAGACGAGGGTAAAATTCATCTGATGATCACAGAATACAAAGCAGGAAAATATTTAGCTCTCGAAACGGAAGATCAGTTTTATAGACAACGGATTGAAATAAAAACAAAATTTTATCACGATCGAACTATTCTTTCGACTACAGTGTACTCACGTAAAACTTCTCTACTCTTTCATGTAACTTTTATTATTATATTTTATTATATTTGTCTTGTATTTCTCTTCTTTATTAACTTCTTTTTTAACTCTCTTTTACCAACTTCTGGCTCTAACCTAGATTCTTTCAATCGACTTCAAATAAATAATAGTTTAAAAAACTACAAAACACCTTTTAATTTAATAACAATCGAAAAGTTTAATAAAATTTTATTGCGATCTATTTTATCTATTTTTAATAAATAAAAATCTTAAAAAAGCTTCCTTGTTTTTAAATAAAATAAATTTTTTGATTAATCACTTGTTAATTTAAACATTCAAAATAATTTTTTATTTTTATAAAATTAAAACGTGTTTTTAATTTTTATAAACTATAATTTATTTCAATATTTTTCAATTTCATTAAAACCGAAAATTATAGCTAGATAATTAAGAAATTACCTTGTATCTTGTGAAATATTGACATTCTTAAAGATATAAGCTCATCTTGATGTTACGCTCATCAAGACCTTTCATTTGAGTACCCACATTAATTTTTCATATATTTTATATATTTATATATATGAATATATGAAAAATATATAAAAATGCATGTGGGTACTCAAATGAAAGCTTTTGATGAGAATAACATCGGGATGAGCTTATATCTTTAAAAATGTCAATATTTAAAGAAGTATAGTGCAATTTAACAAGAGTCATTATTGAATATAGCAAAATTTTATTTGTTTGTAGTTCACAATTTTCTGCAGCTTACTAGTTTTTTCTTGATAGTAAAAATTTAAAAATTTATCATCCAGTTCAATTAAGATTTAATGACTGACAATGTTCTATTGAATCTTTCCATAAAATCAATAACTCATCTTCCGAATTCCGATAAATTTTTTTTGTCCTCAGTCCAACGCAATATTCAAAAGAACCTGGCTGAGGCAGACTTGAGCGTAACAATGCTTATGTAGACTAAAGTGTACGTAGAGGCTTTGCACCCTTACCTGGAGATTTGCTCGAGCGTACCGAAATTAAGGAACATTATTATATATTATACATTGCATTATACAGGACGCAGACAAGAAGAAAGACTGGAGGATCTTCCGACCGTTATTCTTTAAAAAAATAACCAACGGATGATCCGAGCGCCAACGGTCCTCTTATTCTCTCTTCTCTTTGGATCTTTGGAGCGGCACGTGCCCTAAGTCGATCGGACCCTCACAAAGAATCACGACCCTCGGTGATACTTTTCTTCTCTGTCCTACTGTCCCGCCGGTTAAGTAACGCTGTTACATAAATAAAGGCACCATCCATCTGCCCGCTTTTCGCGGGAATTTTTTACTCTCTTTTACTCTCAATAAACTTTTATTATATTTTTTTGAGGAAAGTTTAAACCGATGTTTTCGCAAATAAATAACAGAGTTTGGAAAAATGCAGCAATCCATGACCTGGTGACCAGTCGTCTCTAAAACTATTTTTTGTCACCGAAATAAAATCACTTTATTCAGCCAACAGCTGTTGCCGGCACGATAACTGCTCGTGAAAGAAATCATTGTCGTTTGACACGTGTCACCACACCACTTTAAACTTTTTCTTTCTCTGTAGTTTGAGTTTGAGTTTTAGTTCTGACCATTTTTCACCCAGAAAACTCACAACTATTTCAAAACCAAAAAAAAAAAAGTTTTAAATCTTTTTCTTTGATTTTTTTTTTTTTAATTGTTACAGAGCACTGTCGGACAAGTACTGCGGTGGCAAGTTCAAAAACATCTCGACAAATCACTCAAACATGTATCAATTATTTACAAGTCTCTCCAGAATGAACTACAAATTTATTCTGTGTAAATAAAATTATTAAAATTAAGAATGTAAATAATTTTTAATAAAAAATAATTTTTCTTGGTTTAAGAATTTTTCTTTTGAATCAAATAAATTTTTTTTTACTCTAAATACAGGTTAATTATTTTATATATATTTTTTTTAGGAGCTTCTGTGTATTTTTATAAAAATTAATAATGAACCATAATGGAATTTATACTGATTATTCAAAACGAACTACAAATGAGTGTAAATAAAATTTTTTAATCAAACACACGTTAAATATTTGGGAATACGTAATTACAACTCTAATTACTATTACACTCACGCATGCAGGGAAAACCTTATTGGTAGAATTAACAGCGGCAAAGAGAGTACATAGCCGGAGTACTTGCGTGTCTGCTGTTCATGACATTGATTGATGCTACCATTTGGTTTAGTGCGAATGTTCGCCAATTATCCGGCATGTACGTGTACCACCACACCGTGTTCGCTCCCAAAACATGATCAACTTAAATTTTTAAAAATAAAAACTGCCAATAAATTAAACATTTATTTTTCCTGAAAAAGATAATCTAATAAATAAATCAAATTAAAAATAGTTGGTACTAAAAAATTGCCCGAATTAAGCTTGTATTTATTTTTAATTATTATTGATAAGGTAAAATGTAAAATGGTAGATAATAGAGAACAAAGCTCTACGTGCTCAGAATTATTATTATTAATTACTAGTGATAATTGGTGGTGGGTGGCTGTTGATGGTTTACTTGCCCAGAAATTCTGGTTGCTGGATGAAATTCTGGTGCCCGGCATAGTAATCGACATTAACGATCAAGTAGGCTATGAACAGCTTATAGAGTAGAGAGTAGAGAGCCCAGAGCCTACAGAAGAGTAGAGAATGGGCAAATAGCTCAAACTAATTTATGCGGGTGGACACTACTATCACCACCGATGTTCTACTGCGGTCCATGTCGACAGTTTCGTCCTTCCTGCTAGATTAGATCATTTAAATTGCCCTCTACTAATTATTCATCGAGTACATCAATTATTATTTTAAGAAATATAATATTAATTTTATAAAAATTTTTTTTTATGTAAAATTTCATTAATATGTATTTTAATTGGTTTAGCTTCTTAAAAAAAATTTATAATAATTTTTATAATATAAAATAAAGATTATCATATCAATATTTTTACAAAATTTTAAACAAATATTCAATTTATTTTTTTAAATAATTTTATATTAAAAGAAATTTAAAAAAATATATTTTTTACAATATAATCAAATTAAATATAAATTAAAAATAATTACTAATTAATTACTTATTTATTAATAATTATAATTTATTTTTATAATCAAGTTAGAACATTTTACTAATAATTATTCTCTATGATTTAATTAAAAAAAATTTTTTTTATCAACAAACAAAAATTAATGATAAAAATAAAAAATCATAACTTTGATAGAAAAATAATTTTTAATTTTATACAAATTAAAAAAAAAAAAAAAAAACAATTAAATTTCATTAAAAAAAAAAAATTATTCTAATGATAACTTATTTAATATTATAAAAGCAAAGTTGTACATACGACCGCTAGAACGCGCTGCAGTCACAGAAAAAAATCAATAAAAACTAAAAGTTAGAGAAATTTAAACCCCCTCCATAAATTTCAAAACTTATATCAAAAAATGCGGAAAATTCTAAAGAATTTGAGAATGCAAAAAAAAAAAAGCAAAAAGTTATTGGTCGAATCATATCGACCAGGCTGCGGATGCGGTCCCACTCCCGGGCGCGATCCCACTACTGCCCGCCACGGAGACTTTTGGCTGCTGGGTTTCCCCTCTGGCCCGGTTCGCCTCTCCTTAGCCAACCTGGCCACCCCGGACTCCTCCAGGGTGCCCATATTGATGGCGAGCTTAGTGCGGACGCCCAGTCAACGTGGATCCCGCACCCACAGTGACCCCCGACCTCAGATCCTCCACAACAACTAGCCTCCGAGTAGCCGGATTACAGGAGCCGCCACACTCCCAGCTGAGAGTGACTATGCTCATCGTCCATATGAACTGAAACCTCGACCTGCTTAACTAAATCCTCTCTTTCTCTCCTCTCTTATCAAAAATTCAAAATTCATCCCTTAGAATTACAAAATAAATAAAATTAATTTTTATTAATTTTTTTTATCAAATAAAATTTTTTTTTATAAAATTTTCCAGAGGTCATCTTACGAGAATTGATTTAGAATATTTGTAAAAAATAATAAAAATAAAGACGAGAGAATATTAACGAGAGACAGATCAGCAGCTCCGAAATTTAGCTGCTGACTGGCTATAAAATAAACGAGTGCTGACGTTCGAGTATTAAACGAGCGAACTCAACGTGGTACGATCCTTATATCCCTTCCTCTGTCTATATATATTACCTACATATCCCACAAATATATATATACCAATTTTCTCGGTTATCTTAACTTCGTACTCGGTTGAACCCTTTAATTAAAGTACCAATAGGAAAACTATTAAATTTTCTTATTCCGCGAGCTACAACTTTCGCGGATTAAGAGTTCACTATTTGTAGAGAGTAGATGCTGTAACGAGGCCATATGTCACGCTTACACTTCTTCTATCTTACATATTACATCTTATATCTTCACTGGGATAGCTACTGGATCTAGAGTGTCTTCAGCAATAATTCCTCTGTATTTATGACAGCTCTCATTTCTCTTCCTTTATATTTTTTCGTTAAGACTCTCATTTTTTACCTTTTAAAATCATCAGTCGATACATTTGTCTTTTCATCGCTTTTTTTTATATAAATACCGACAATTAATCTCCGAAAAACAATAATAAAAATTTTTAATTTAAATTGCGAGTTAAATATTTAAGATACAAAAAAATAATGAGTACTTTTTTGTAAATAATTAAATTCTCTAAATTAAATATTAATTTTTAAGTATGGATATTTAGCCTAATTATCAATTTTTATTTTTTTTACTGTTACAAATAATAAAAAAAAAATTTTTTAATTAAATATTTTTATTTAAAAAATTATTTATTTTTATATTTGAGACTTTATTATTGTAAAATAATTTTAAATTCAAATTGCTAGTTAAATATTTAATGATAAGAGTATTTTTTTGTAGACAATTAAATTCTCTATCTAAATTGTCTTTATCAATTTTTGTGTATCGTGTTTTTTAGGCACAATATAAATTTTTAATTAATGATTTTTGGCCTAATTATCAATTCTTATTTTCTTATTGTTAAAAATAATTTTAAAAAAATTATTTAATTGAATAAAAAATAGTTTGTTATATTTCTGACCTGAAAAAAAAAAATAAACTAAAATATTTCAACGACGTGTAAAGAAAAAATAAAAAAAAAAAGAGAGAGAAGAGCAGTAAAACAGAAATACCGACCGGAGTTGAATGCCGTCAATTAATAACAGAGATGGCAGAAAGATGGCGATGGGTGCGAATTGTCCATCGGGCATTGATGGTTCATAAATCCGCGGTTTTCTTTTATGACGCGGTCTGTAGAGTGCGAGCACAGCCAGAAATGCAATTTGCGCTACACCCGAAAAATATAATAACAAAAAGATAAAAACTACTGGCCCATACAGTGTGAATGAAACCTTGTTTTATTAACGCGATAAACGCCAGAAAAAATAGAGACCGTAAACCAGAAAGTAGAACTATTAAAATTATTCTGACGAAATTAAAATTAATTTATGCGTTCAATAGAAATTTTTTTTCAGACAGGAGAAATATAATTGATTCGGAAAATGTCAAAAAGCGTAAAATTTAAAAATATTCTATTTAGAGTTTTTCTTGTACCTCTATTTATTTATATTGACAGGCAAGTATTTCGTACTGGATTTGTATTAAATATGCGTCTATTCCCGGCGGTTTGGCTTTACATGCCTGTCACACGTCATCCGTACTCCAGTAAGGGTCTCAGTCTTTCAGTCGTTTTGCAGAAACTAATCATTGGATTCCCCGAAAGAGCATGTCCACCCGAAACTCACCCGCGGAAATTGCCCAAGTTATTCCAAAGTAGAGACTCCTTCCTGTTTCTGGTTCCCCAGCTTCCACCTCCGCTTCTACTTTGCTTTGGTTGTAAACTCGGACTTTGATTGCTATATAACTCCCTTGGCCACACAAACACTATTTCTTGACAACTTGTGACAAGTTTTGATTCACCCTTGTTCATTTCACGGCTAAATAACTTCATTTTTACAGTCAATATTATATTTAATATCACTGTACTTTACTCGATTAGTAAATAATTAATAACTAAATCAATTTCACGGACGGATGTCAATAATTATCAATTATTAATCCTTTGGCAGGATAATGAAAGTGATGATTAAAGTTGTTGTTTAAGTTATATTGACTATCAATTTCATTTTAAATTACTATCGGCAACTAATTACTATTTGTAATTACATTATTTTTCCGTATATATTCTCCCGAGTGTTTACTATGATACAAGAATTTATTTACTGTTGATAAATTAATTTATTTTGAAATAAATTATTAATTATAATTATAAACAAAGTTATTTTTTTTATTTTAATAAATTTTTTTTTTTAATTATCTGTTGAGGGTTGATAAAAATCTCTTAAAAAATAAAAAATATTTATGAATTATCAAAAAAATATTAAAAATTCATACTTTAATACATTTAAAATGAAAAATAAATTTTGTTACAAATTTTTAAAAATTATTGTGAATATTCTAACGCAAAAATTTGTAAAATTTCTAAACAAATTTTTAAAATTTCTTTTTATATAAACATCACAATTTTTTTTGCCAAAAATTTTAATTTTAAAAAAAATTTAATTAATTTCCTTGATATAAAATTGTCAAAATAAAATTCTATTCCCATTTTTTAATCAAGAATTTTAAAAAAAGTTCATTAATTTCTGACTATAAAAAAATATGAAATGAATCATTTAATTAAAAAAAAAAAACCAAATATAAATAATTAATTAACAAAGCTGATAAAATAATAACAAATCTTTTAATTAGTGTTCTAATCAATTTGCAAATAAACCTGTTGCCCTTGCGCCCTACATTTAATAGCAATAGCAAGAAAGGTAATTGAGAAAAACTGGTTAACTAATTTTTGGACAGCTCGTACAGTAGAAAGTTTGTCGAGCTTGGAGCGTGGAGCCCACGGGGCAAG